GCATGGAGTGTGCAGACCAGACGGGCTGCTCCGTGTGGGACCCCATCTGGACTGGACCTGGCCCTGGTGGCAGTGGCCTTCAAAGGCATCATAGACAAAGCCACAGGAGGGCTAAAAGGACAGTCTGGTAGCGCCCCCTGGGTGCAATGTCAGACTGCCCTGTTTTCCTGGGCCCTTCTCCCCTCCCCTGTAAATATTCCCCTGTGAATAAAATGTATAAATCACAAATAATTTGCTGTTTTCTATTTTGCATCCTCTCTGAACACAACTAGGCTTGAACAGGTTCAGTAATGTAGCAGTTGGAGTGAATCAGAACTACCAAATAAAAAACTGACTTCAGAGAATTGTCATGGTGACCCCCAACAGCAAGCCATTCTAAAAGTGGTTATGAAGGGATGGGGCAGGGCATAACGGCAGACATGGCGTCCGACCTCCCCACACTAACATCACCTTGTTACAGCCCAGGAGGGCCAGCAGAAGCCTGAGGTCTACGCCGGTGGTATTGATGCAGAGAGGCCCACGATAGGGCAATGGCATCCTGTGACCCCAACATGGCTAGGGTCAGAGGAGTGGCAGTTGGAAGAGTGGCACAGTACGGTCCCTAGTGGCCAGGGACTGAGGCAGGGCCCCTCAGCAGCCTGATTTTCCAAAGGCTGCCCCAAGGCAAGACACACACCCTGGGGTCAGAGGGAGGATTTAATGGCAAGGACAGTAGCCCAGAGGGTGGAGGAGTGTCAAAGGTGTCTTTCCTGTGGCCAGTTGCATTTACCTAGGTACCTGATATTTCCAACTTGGGCAGTGAATTTGTGGCTACAATTAAAATTCAGGGAGGAGATATTCTTCTTTGCAGCAGAATGCCAGAAATACAAGCTTATAGGAAGATGTCTATTTGATCATTTCCACTGTGCAAACACAGATATAATAATTGACACAGAAGGCATGGTTAATGAATGATACAATTTTTAGGGAAAGATTATGAGAGAACAGGATATTTGTCTATTCTCAAAACATAGATTACTAATTAGCTTAAGAATTATGGAGGAAACAGATGAATGGATTGAAAAATTGTGGCACATTTATGGAGGAGTCCGACCCGGCGAGGCCCCGAGATCTGTCTGAGCCCCCCGACCTTTGAGCTCCGCTTCCAGTCAGATCAACACATTGGCAAGGCCACTGTTGTGTGCCCCCGGACCTTGGAACAAAGCTTGGGTCACTTAGCATGTCAGCAAGGCTGTTTGCTATTTGCTCCAGAAACTGGCAGCCTTACTGGGAAGCGGACGCCCCTCTGACTCCCCAATTTACTACTATAAAAGAATTGCATAGCTCTCCTATACATCCTGAGTGTACGATAAAATCTTCCAGGAATTCCCCCGACTGCTCCCCTTTGCTCTCATCACTTACTATTAATTACAATGCTTTATCTCCATGGTCACAATAGAGGGTGGGCTGAAGTTCTTTCTAGGCAGAAGTAATCTTGACCTTTGGAAGGCCCTTCAAAATACATTTAAGGTAAACTTAATCCTTTCTTTACCTAAAATAAGATTAGGCCAAAACTGACCCAGGACACCTCCACCCTCTCCAAGTGAAATAGATAAATATATTAGGATTCCTCGAATTAAGTTTTAAATCCCTACAAAACTGTATAAGTATCATTCTTTATTAAGGTCCAAAAGAACTAATATCTATTCTTGAGATTTTCTTTTCTCAGCACCATTCCCAGTAATCACAAAATGGCTGCCAAGCCGCATCAGTTGATAATCATCTCTGCTTACCGGAACCGCTTTCCCCGAAACTGCATTCCATGGAGACCCACCTACAATTGCAGAACTGCACTAGACCCACCCTTAATCCACCCCTGAATTGCACTAGACCCACCCTTAATCCAACCCTAAATAGAATCTATGTTCTCTATTGTTAAAATCTTTATGAGCTGTTAATTGAAACACTAGCCCCTCTCCCTTTACTTGCATGTATCACATTTTCAATAAAAACGCACGATGATTCCTAACAATTGTCACTCCTCAGAGAGCGATCTTTGAGGGGTGTCCGGCATAGGACGTGCATGAAAAGGCATCGAGGCCTCTGTCTTCTGTTCACCTTTGCCGCCTCCATCGAGATAACCCACCCACGCCAAGGCTGGTCCCCGGCATACCACAGTCCGGACCACACCTCCAGGACTTTGCACGTGTCTTTCCTCTTCAGGAAGCCCACAGCCTGGACACCTGGCCAAGCTCTGCTGGGCTCCCCTAGAAGGATCAGATACACATCTGGTCCTGAAGACCTCACTGCCCAGTTGGGAAGACAAGTACAGAACTCTACAGAGGAGTCCCCTGGTCACAGGTACAAATGAAGGACACATTCAGTTCAGGACATGCCCACCCGCTGCTGAGGTACCAGGGGGCAGCTACTGAAGGAGGATTTAGTGGGCCCCATATGGGGGTGACCACAGGAACTAAAGAGGAGACATTTGGGGCAGAAAGATGTTGAAGTGACAGGAGCACAGAAGCACAAAGTGGAGACTGAGGTCCGGGACTGGAATTGCTGTTGACTATTTCAAAGTCCAGTGATGTAACCATGATGCCATCTGCTGGTCGGATCTCTTTGTTTTTAATTTTCAAAATAATTTGTAAAATTCTCTGTTCTCTCCTTTATCTTGTTATTTCTCACTTTTCAGCCCCAACCATTAAGGACAGGAAAAACACAGGCCTTTACAAGGGCTATCTACGAAGCGTGCCAAGCTCCCTCCTTTCAGGGACTCAGGCAACTGAAGATTTTCTGCTCCAACTTCACCCTCTTGATCCCAAATTCTAGACAGTTAAGGCAACCTCTCTCATTATTATTATTTTTTTATTTTCAGAGTAATTTTTAAAATCCTTTATCTTGCTAGTTTTCACATTTCCTACTGCCAGAAAGGAAAGGCGAAGCACAGCCTTTTCAGAAGCTGTCTACATCCGAGGCGTTCCATGCACCTTTCAGGGACTAGGGAAAATAAACATTTCCTCCTAGATAGGAAGGGCAACCTCGATCTCCTCTCTTTCTTTCTGTCTCTCTTTCTTTAAATTTTATTTTGTAATTTTTAAAGTAATTTTTTTAAATCCTGATTTATCCTTTATCTTGCTAATTCTCACATTCCCCAGCATCCCACATAGAACAAGCAAAGCACAGGCCTGTTCAGAAGCCATCTGCATCCAAGCTGTGCCCTTCCCCTTTCAGAGACTAGGTCAACTTAAGATTTTCTGCTCCAACTTCGCCCTCCTAACCCAAAATTCTAGACAGGGGTGGCAACTTCTGTTTCCTCTCTGACCCTCTCTCTTTAATTTTTGTTTTTAATTTTAAAGTCATTTTTAAAATCCTCTCTGATCTCTCCTTTATCTTGCTCATTCTCACTTTTCTCATCCTCCCACAAAGGACAGGCAAAGCACAAGCCCTTTCAGAAGCCATCTACATCCGGGTCCCCTTTCAGGGACTAGGGCAACTGAAGGTTCTGCTCTAATTTCACCCTCCTGACCGAAAATTCTAGACAGTTAGGCAAGTCTCTGTCTTCTGTCTCTCTTCAATTTTTTTTTTTAATTTTTTAAAGTACTTTAAAAAACCCTTTCTGATCTCTTCTGTATCATACTTATTTTCACCTTTATCCCACATAAGACAGGAGGAAAGAACGGCCAATTTTTTTTTTAACCATCTACATCTAAGGTGTGTCCTGCTCCATTCAGAGACTAGGATAACTGAAAATTTTCTGCTCCAAAACTTCACTCCCTTGACTTAAAATTGTAGATGAGTAGGGCAATATCTGTGTCTTTTCTCTCTCTCTCTTTCTCTCTCTCTCACTCTTTATGTTTAATTTTTAATGTGATTTTAAAATCCTGTATGATCTCTATCTTGCTAATACTTGCTTTTCCCCTCCTCCCACATAGGACAGGCAAAGCATAGCCCCTTTCAGAAGCCATCTAGATCTGAGATGTGCCCTGCCCATTTCAGGGACCAGGACAACTGAATATTTCCTGCTCCAACTTCACCCTCCTAAGTAATATCCAGGACCAGGAGGGCAGCCTCTGTCTCCTCTCTGTCTCTAATTTTTTTTTAAATATTGAAGTAATCTTTAAAATCCTCTCTGATCTCCTGTATCTTGCTTATTCTCACTTTTCTCACCCTCCCACATAGAATAGGCAAAGCATGGACCCTTTCAGAAGCCATCTACGTCTGAGGTATGCCCTGCCTCCTTCAGGGACCTCAGCAACTGAAGATTGTCTGTTACAACTTCACCCTCCTGACCCAAAATTCTAGACAGTTAGGGCAATCTCTGTCTTTTCTCTGTCTCTCTGTCTCTCTCTTTAAATTTTTTTTCAAGATACTTTTTAAAATCCCCTCTGATCGCTCCTTTATCTTTCTTATTCTCATCTCCCCTCCCCCCACACACACATAAGACAGGAAAAGCACAGCCCCTATCTTAAGCAGACCTGCGTCCTGCCCCTTTCAGGGACAAAGGCAACTGAAAATTTTCTGCTCCAACTTCACTCTTCTGACCCAAAATTCTAGACAGTTAGGGAAATCTCTGTCTCTTTTCTGTCTCTCTCTCTCTTTAATTCTTTTTTTAATTTTGAAAGTACTTTTTAAAATCCTCTCTGATGTCTCCTTTATCTTGCCAGTTCTCACCTCCCACCCACCACCCATTAAGAAGCATCAAAGCACAGCCTTTTCAGAAGCCATCTGCATCTGAGGTGTGCCCTGCCACTTTCAGGGACTAGGGCAACTGAAGATTTTGATCCAACTTCACCTGCCTGATCCAAATAGATATGTAAGACAACCTCTCTCTCCTCTCTGTCTTTCTGTCTCTCTCTCTCTTTTTAAATTTTAGGTTTTTTTTTCCCATTTTTAAAGTGATTTTTAAATCCTCTCTGATCTCTCCTTTATATTGGTAATTCTCACATTTCCCAGCATTCTGCATAAAACAGGAAAGCTCAGGCCTTTTCAGAACCCATCTACATCCCAGCTGTCCCCTGCCCCTTTCAAGGACTAGGACAACCTAAAACTTTCTGCTCCAACTTGCACCCTCCTGATCCAAAATTCCAGACAGGTAAAGCAACCTCTGCCTCTTTTTCTGTCTGTTTCTCACCTTATTTTAAAGTAATTTTCTTTTTTTTTTTTTTTTGAGAGATTTTTGCTATAGGGCGCGTGCGCTCGCCAGACAGACAGAGAGAGACATAGAGACAGAAAGCGAGAAATCACCCCCCAGGGGGAATGGCCACACCGCAATCCCTTCTCCTCCATTCTCCTCTTGGGACCTTGGGCACGCACGCACACGCGCCCGGCTTGAGTTTTAAGCCTCCGGGTCCAGGACTTGAACCACGGTCGACTATGTGGGAGTCCAGCGACATAGCCATTACGCTAACTGCTGGCTCCTAAGTAATTTTTAAAATTCTCTCTGATCTCTCCTTTTTCTTCCCATATAGGACAGGCGAACACAGGCCGTCTCAGAGGCCATGTTCATCTGAGGTGCACCCTGCCCCTTTCAGACACTAGGTCAGCTAAAGATGTCCTGCCCCACCCCACCCTACTGACCCAAAACTCAAGACAGTTAAGGCAATCTCTGTCTCTTCTTTGTCTCTCTCTGTCTCCAAAATTTTTTAAACTTCTTAAAGTGTTTTTAAAATTTCTCTGATCTCTCCATTATCTTGCTAATTCTCTCCTTTCCCTCCCTCTCACATAGGACAGGCAAAATGCAGGCCCTTTCAGAACCAATCTACATCTGAGGTGTGTCCTGCCCCTTTCAGGGACTAGGGCAACTGAAGATTTTCGGCTCCAACTTCACCCTCCTGACCCAAAATTCTAAACTTGGAGGGTAATCTCTGTCTCTTCTCTGTCTCTTTCTCTAATTTTTTTTTTAATTTTTAAAACTATTTTCAAAATCCTCTCTGATTTCTCCTTTATCTTGCTAATTCTCAACTTTCACCCCATCCTACATAGTACAGGCAAAGGTACAGAACCTTTCAGAAGTCGTCCACAGGGTGTACCCTGCCCCTTCCCCACGGCATGCAAGCCCATTCAGCAGTTTTCCTTGCAAAACAAACAAACAAACAAACAAAAAACAAGACTATTTTCCCCCATTGCTTTTGTCTTTTTTTTTTTTTCTTTTTCTTCCCCCTTTGATTTCTTCTACCTTACTTTCTCACTTTGCTGCTCAGCCTCCACACACTGAGGGTCTAGACAGGTCTAGGTGCACAGTTACCATACATCTGAGTGCTTTCTAAGTCACAGAAATCCTCAACTACCGCTGAAGCTGCTACACAAAGGGAGAATCCACTCATCATAAACCTTAAATCTCTTTCTCTGGATACCACATTGCAAAACATAGTTGAGGAGAGCAATTAGCACAGAATTAACTTCCAGTAAAGGGAAACACAGAAGCTTACAGTTCCAGAAAGCTTCTCTAACAAATTAGCCAAACGTGAATACAAGACCAAATGGCTAAAAGTCAGAAAGACACTGCAGAGTGAGCAGCATGGAGAAAGATGGAACTGCAGAGAGAGCGTGGCTCATCTCCTTCTGCACACCTCCTAACTCTCAATTGAAATCCCACAGCTCAGTCAGCCAGTTGACCTGTTTTCTAGAAACTGGAAGGTTTTTGTAATGTCCAGTTCCAACAACAAAAACTCAGATTGCTTGGTGAGTGTCAGGGAAATGGAACTGCAGAGAAATTGCACATCACCTCCATCTGCATGCCTCTGAACGCTTAGATTTCACTCCAGGAAATTAGGAAGAAATATATAATCCATCAGAATATCAGAAACCACTGCAGAAGCACAAGAAATATGAGAAACCAAGAAAATATTTCTCCCTCATGGGAAAAGAACAACTCTTCATCACCCATAGAGTGTACAATGGAACTCATGGAAATATCAGATAGCAATTCAGAATATTCATAGTGATAAAACTAACAGAGATACAAGTGAAGAGAGACAACAGACTCCAGAAGATGAAATGAGATAATAAGTTTCAGAAGGCGAAGAAGTTATTGCACTTTTTGAAAGAAGAAATACGAGGATAAAAAGGAATCAAATTGAACTGTTTAAGATGAAGCCAAGCCTATAATACAGGAAATCAAAACCTCCCTCAAAAGTATTAGTATGCAGGGAACCAGCAGTTAGTGTAATGGCTATGTTGCTGGATTCCCATGTAGTTGACTGCGGTTCGCATTCTTGACCCTGTGGCTTAGAACTCATGCCGGGCGTGTGTGCGTGCGTGCCCAAGATCCCGAGAGGAGAATGGAGGAGAAGGGATTGTGGCGTTGACCATCCCCCCTGGGGGGTGATTTCTCGCTTTCTGTCTCTATGTCTCTCTGTGTCTGGCGAGCACACGTGCCCTATAGTGAAAACATCTCAAAAAAAAAAAAAAGAAAAGAAAAGTATTAGTATGCAGAAAATTGAATCTCAGATGCAGAGCACAAAAACCTCTAACCTAGAAAAAAAATCACCAGAAAGACTGAGAAAATAACCAAAATTGAGAATAATATACAAGAAATGCTAGATGCCAATAAACACCCAAACATCTGGATAGTCGTTATCTTAGAAGGGAAAGAAACTAATTTGGGCATTGAAAATCTATTTCATGAAATCCTGGAAGAAAACTTTCTAAACCTAGAGAGAAATTTTTATATCCAGAACCAAGAAATACAAAGGATCCCATATAGAGTCAACCCAAGAAGATATTCTCTAAGGCACATCACATCCATATTGACCAAAATTTGCAAGAGAGAAAAGTCAAGTACTTATAAAGGATATTCCATCAGGCTAACATTGGACCTCTCATTGGAAACAATGCAAGCGAAGAAAGAATGGAGAAATATATTCAAAGTAGTAAGTGTAATTCAACCAAAAATACTATAGCCAGCAAAATTATCTTTTTTTTTTTTTTTTTTTTTTTTTTGAGAGGTTTTTGCTGTAGGGCACATGCGCTCACCAGACAGACAGAGACAGAGAGACGGAAAGCGAAAAATTACCCCCCAGGGGGGATGGCCATGCTGCAGTCCCTTCTCCTCTATTCTCCTCTCGGGATCTTGGGCACACATGCACACGCACCCGGCGTGAGTTTTAAGCCACCAGGTCCGGGACACGAACTGCGGTCAACTACATGGGAGTTCAAAAAAAAAAGATTGAATTTCTAAAATATTTTGAAAATTTCTTTAAAAGAGTCCAGCTTTGACCTTTTTAAATTTTTTTTTTTGAGAGATTTTTGCTGTAGGGTGCATGTGCTCACCAGAGAGATAGAAGGTCAGAAGGTTAGAAATAACCCCTCAGGAAGTATGGCCATACCTCAATCTTTCTCCTTTATTTTCCTCTCAGGATTTTGGCCAGGCATGCACACATGCCTGGCATGAGTTTTAAACCACGGGGCCCAGGATTTGAACCGCTGTCACCTACATGGGAGTCCAGTGAAGTAACCATTATGCCACTGGCTGATCCCACCTTTTTAATTTTTTAATTCAGATAAAAATGTTTGTCATGTCCCAGCCAAATGACAAAGTGGTTTAATGTGACTAGATTCCTCATGGCTGATGGCATGGTTCAAATCCTGGACTTGGTGGCTTGAGGAATATGCTGGGTGTTGTGTGCATACATGCTCAAAATCCTGAGAAGAATGAAGGAGAAAGAATTGTGGTCTGACCATCCCTTCTGGGGAGTGATTTCTCATTTTCTCTCTCTATTTCTCTCTGCCTCTCTCTGATGAGCACATATACCCAATAGCAAAAACTAGGGACCAGCAGTTAGCGTAATGGCTATGTCACTGGACTCCCACGTAGTCGACTGCGGTTTGCGTCCCGGACCGGGTGGCTTAAAACTCACGCCGGGTGCATGTGCATGCGTGCCCAAGATCCTGAGAGGAGAATGGAGGAGAAGGGATTGCGGCGTGGCCATCCCCCCTGGGGGGTAATTTCTTGCTTTCTGTCTCTCTGTCTCTGTCTGTCTGTCTGGCGAGTGCATGCACCCTATAGCAAAAACCTCTCCCCAAAAAAAAAAAACCTAAAAGGTATGTTGTGTGTATATGTATATGTTAAGTAAAAATTAGAAAACCTTAAGAATGCAACCCAATACTTTTTAAATGCATTCACTATTCAAATGGAACTGTAAAACTTTCTTATTTTCTTGACACTCTCCCCATGCACCTTCCTAATTAATATCTGCTCCTCTTAATCCAACCATAGAAACTATCATTCATTCTGGCATCTATCATAACAGTTTGGTTTTCCCTGGACTTGAACTTAATATAAACAGAAGCAGGCAATTTTATTTGTTTCTAGTTCTTGTTTGTGTACTATTTTTGAGAATTTTTTTTCTTCTTGAGTTCTTGTCTACTATTATTTCTTGGGATTGTGAAGAACTTCCTCTTGAATTACTTACAAAGAGCATGTCTGAAAGTAATCATTTTTCTTCATTTTTATTTACCAAGACATTTTGAGGAGGAGAAGCCAGGCAGTGGTGCAGCATTAGCACAACCGAACTCACGTGAGAAAGGTCCAAGGTTCATGTTCCAGAACTCAGTGAGCATGACAGGCATGTGTGCCTATGATCCAGGTCAGATGGGACAGGTGGTTGAGAGCAACATGAAAACCCTGTTGAGGGTTCCTGGCTCTCTCTCGTTTATGGAATGAATGAAGGAATAAATAACTAAAAACATTTTAAGAATGCATTTACTTTGCCTTTATTTTTGAAAAATAGATTCACTAATATTGAATTACTGATTAGGTTTTTTTCTTTCTTTCAGCCTTTAATTACATCATTTCAAGGCTAGCCTCCATTGGTCATGACGAAAGTCAGCCAGTGAGTGACCTTTTCATCATTTTTCTGTATACAGTGAGCACTGGTTTGTTTTGTTTTATTTTGTTTTTGATGCATTTTAGATTTTCTCTTGGTTTTTGGTTCAGTGTTTTAATTATAATGGATATGAGAGAAATATTATGTATATCCTGAACAACTCCATTAATTTCTTTAATATGTAGATTAATGTGTTTCATTACTTTTGGAAAGATTTTATCATTATCTTTCCAAATTTTTTTTTGGACACTTTTTCTCTTCTCCT